ATTGCCATTATGTGAAGAAACTTATATGTAGATAGTAGATTGTAACATATATCTGATCTAAAATCTATATTCACCAAGATTATTGTTGTAGTTATCACAGAACAGACATTTTGTGACAGAGTACATACTGAGATGAACATTTATTACAAAACAATATATTTTACATTTTTGTTGATAAGTGAACAATAATTTATGATTACTGATCATTTCACTCACTATCAGTGACAATGCAGCTCATTTACTGAAAATCAAATTGGCACGTTTCTGCATTTATTTATTACCTTAATTACCTATATTATCTTATGTATTCTCCGGGTTGGTATTATGCAACACGTGGAATACATGTCTGTAGATTTGTCTGCAATGAATAATGTATATCCTTTTATATTTCACAGGTTCTTCAAGAATGGTCAAACGACCCTGGTCGAAAAGAGAGAAAGCTGCCGTTCTCAAACATTTTGAGAGAAACATCATTTTGAAGAAACTTCCCAGAAAATGGGAGATTGACCAGTGCCTATCACAGGAACCGTGTCTGAGAAAGCGTACGTGGCGTTGGCGAAAGGTCAAAGACTTTGTTAGGAACCATACTTTGGCACAGAAAGTTCTTTAACAAACAAATATACACGTGACAGTGTACCTGTTGGTGTTAACTCTTCACATGACGTAAAATCTGCATCTACAGCCCTTGCAGACTCGATTTTTGCAGCTATTGTTGGACGAGAAGTCACAAGAACTGGTAACGATAAATACACACAAGGTGTTGTTTCACTACATGAGACTTCCTTTTGGAATCTCCTCAAGTTCAGCGATTTGGCAGAGCAATCATGAACTATGTGCTGATTTCTGGAAAAGGCGATAATGAACACCTTTCAAACATTGACAAGGTTCTACAAGTTTGGACTGAGAGTCAAGATCAAAAAGTGTCACTTCATAAAGGATTCAGTGGTATACATGGGTATGAGAATATCAGCTAAAGGAGTCCAACCTACCAAAGAAAAGGTAGAAGCTATCAAGACTGACTGAGTTTGGTTTTACGCTGCTTTTAGCAATATTCCAGCTACATCACAGCGGGGGACACCAGAAATTGGCTTCACACGTCGTGCCCATGTGGGGATTCGAACACGGGTCTTCGGCATGACGAGCCAACGCTTTAACCATTAGGCTACCCCACCGCCCAGCTATCAAGAAAGCTCCAGTTCCACAAAACACGAATGAACTTCGATGATGGGTGGGAATGCTAAACGTCCAGGCAAAGTTTATCCCAAACATTTACTCTGACCAATAACTGCCGTCAACAAACACGAATGGCTAAGGACACCTTGACAAATAGCCACTCACTATTAATTTTTGACAAAAGCAGTTCAGAAATAACCTACAGACTAAGATTCTCTATCTTAATGGATCATAAACCTCTGCAAAGGACACTGGGACTAAAGACAGCTATATCTGGGATTACACTTTCTTAGTAAAGTACAGATTCTGGTACTGTTTTGATTTGATTCCCATCCAGGATTTGAACCACACCCTCAGAGTCAGGCACCTAATTGTTGCGACAATGGGAATCAAACCAAAAATGTACTAGAATGTGTACTTCAGTAAGAAAGTGCAATCCCAAATTTAAGATATGTTACATTTGACCACTTTTTAAATGGCATTGTGTATTCATAGTTATCAGCGAGGTGAATAAGAAAAGAAGAGAAGGGTTTAAACCCGACGTTGGTGCACCATACAAAAGACTTTGCACAGAGAAAGAGAAAACAACCAAGAACCTATTTGGTGATGATCTGGCAAAGAAAATTAAGGACATCTCCGGCAATACCAACAAACAAATTCACAAAGAAGAAATACCACAGAGAGAAAATCAATCCGTGCCAACATGGCAACAATCGGGTTCATCTTGGACAAGGGCACCCATCAGGTGGTAATCGTGGCACAGGTGGGTAGAAAAAATTCAGAGGTTGGAACATCTGACCTTATCCTACCTACAGAAAAGGAAAGGGCCCTACGTTTTTTACCGGGAAAGGAGGGGGAGAGGAAATATCAACAGTAGACTGTCAACCCCTCACGTTCAATTCGGCATCACAGGTGAGCACTAATCTCAGGCTTGTGCATACTCCCAGTAATTTTGTGGATGGTAAAATATGTGATTATCCAGATACTAGTATGTGAAAATGATAACTTCTGACAGATGGATTATATCCTCAATATGGGGAGCTCACATAGAATTCACTTCCCCCTGGTACAAGTGCATGTTCCTACACCAAATCTGTTCAACAAATATGAAAGGGAAAAGATTAGTGTTCAATTGAGTCACATGTTAAAGGCAGGGGTCATTGAAAAATGTGATCATCAATGTGGAGAATTCAGTTCAAACATTTTTATGCGGGACAAGAAAAATGGTTCTGTGAGAATTATCCTTAGCCTTAAACATATGAACAAGAATGATAAGCACCATTTTAAGATGGAAACATTAAAATCAACATTGTATTTGGTGCGGAAGAACTGTTTTTTCCCATCAGTGGATTTAAAGGATGAATATTACACCATCCCTGTGAATGTGTCTGATAGAAAATATCTTCGGTTTGTTTGGGATAATGAACTTTATCAGTATACCTGTTTTCCTAATGGATTAAGCTCAGCACGCCAGATGTTTACGAAGATTCTAAAACTTGTGTTTTCTCATTTAAGGAAGCTTGGTTATGCAAATACCACTTACACTGATGATTCGTTGTTAAGGGGAGAAACTGATCATGTGTAAAGACAATGTGCATCACACTGTTCATCTGATTGACTCATTAGGATTTACTATTCAACCTGACAAATCAGTGCTATATCCAATAGGAAATATCCTACTTAGGATTAACCATAAACAGTGTAGCTATGACAATTAATCACCAGTATGATTCTTTCCATACAATCCCTACCAAAGGGCTTGTGTAAAAATAATTCTAGATTCATCGAATCTCAAATTCAAACAAACATTTTGTCTGTGTCCACTGCAGGACAATGTCTCTCTTGTCAGTCCTTGTTTGTTATACTTCTTTGAGTGGCATTCTAGAAGTTGAGGAATGAGGAAAAACATTTATGGACATGCAACTTCTTTTTTCTGTATAGGCGACATTTCGACATTGATTCTTATGTCGTTGTTGTGTCACCACTTGCTTGATGAAAACTACATTAGAATCTATGTCGAAATGTTGCCTATACAAAATAAAGAAGTTGTATGTCCCCCCCCAAAAAATTGTCCTCATTCTTGTTTGTCATAAATTAGCAAATCTGGACAAAATTGTGAGGCATGATCCTTGCTGTCAAACTACCCAGAGTATCCACAGGACTAACAATGTCGGCTAAGTAGGAGTGAGTGAGTGAGTAAGTTTAGTTTTACTCCACACTCAGCAATATTCAAGCTATTCCAGTCGGTAAATAATCAAGACTGGACCAGACATCCTGTGATCAACAGCATGATCATCCATCTACACAACTGGGATAGGATGACCACCTGATGCTGTTCGCAGCCTCTTACGACAAGCATGGGTTACTGAAGATCATTTCTAACCCGGATCTTCACAGATCACGTGGGAAGGAAGTAGGAAGTATCACATGTATGACTTTGACATAAAGGACATAAAGCAGTTGATAAGAAACATATAAACATGTCATGCCAATAGGCATTGCAAACAATGGTAAGGCCAGACCAAGTTTATTTCTTGTTTAACGGATCCGCCGGTCATATTTTTTTCAAGAATAAGAAAAAAATATATATATATATATCCCCCACCCCCACCCCCCTTAATGTTTTTATTGGCCAAAAATGTAAACTTACAAGAAATAAAATCACCAGTCAAAGTAATATTCCTTCTATATACTAAAAGTATTTTACTTTTGGCAATTTATAAAGTGTATATGGGGCAAAATACAATCTTTAAAAAAATGTAAAACTTTTTTCCCTCCTGCCTTTAGGTTTTCTGAGGACAAAAATCTGTAAAACAAGAAATAAAATTGGTCTGGCCTAAAGTAAGTATGACTCAGAAACAAACAATGATATGACAGTGTTATACAACAAGCTAAATGCTGACCTAATCTCTGACTAATCTCATCCAAATTCAACAACAATACTTCAATAAACTTTGAGAAAATGGAAGCACAAACTGTATGTGCTTTGTTTGCTATTTGTCTATCTTGTGTCATGTGATAAAAGAATTCTTCAAGGCAATATGGAAAACATGTCCTTGAACATATAATTCCTAATTGTCACTGTGACGGTGACTGGTATGGTAGGTTGTGCTTAGTAGCCCTGTTACTAAGTTGCTGCTAAATGAAATTATCTTACCTCACACATGAATGTTGATTTCTGATTGGTTGAGCACTCTTCTATTATTTTCAACAACGCCATACAAGCGAGTAACATTTTCTATGTTACCTGCTGGGAATGCCGAACTGTGGGTTTGGTACTTCGAGTTATCTCAAATAATTGAGTCACATATGATGTACGGGAACTGACGATGTTTTGCGAATGCAAATCAGTGAAAGGGAGATAACTCTAAATTTGTTTTCTTGTCATCTGCTAGATTCTATGTCATCTGAAAATCTAGTATTGGCTAATTGCCTAACTCTGGTACTCCCTATTATGATCTGATACCCGTGTTTCAAACAGTTCAAAATTAACATTGAGGTGTTCGGTAAGATAAATACTTTGTTCACTGGTCCCTCTGGGCCCAAGGGTGTCGATGTACCCCTCATGACCAGTGAACAACTGATAAGACCTGCTCTGAATGTCTACAGTGTAAGTCTTGCTGGTTGCAAAGTAATACTGTTACGTTCTTAAGAGTAATGAGATTTGTGAATCTTTTTTCACACACCTCACGCCCTGACCCCCTGTCCCCATCGCACAGGTCAGCCTGCTCCTGGTCAGTCCTCCGCTGCCCATGGCTACTGACTGTCTGGTCAGTATTCCGGGTCCAGTTTCTTTCATTGGTTACATGACTACTTGTAGGAAATTTTTATGTCATTGTGAGTTTCTGAGCAACGAACTCACCTTGAGCATGCAGGTACCTTAGTAATTCATGTTCCATCTTGTTTGATGCAGCTTTATGTATCTTCTGATGTTCGGTCAAGGACAGAGAATCACCCAAATCCTTATTACAGGTGTAACAGTAAAAGGTGACCACTTTACCCCTGCTTTCACCTTCAGGATCTATCCAGTTTCTTCGCTGCTGAAAATCACTGGTTACTTGAGGTGCTTCACCAGCATCTCTTACCTCAGTCACCACATGGGTAGCTTCATGGGAGGACAGTGAAGCTGTCTCACTAAACCTCTCACCACATTTAAAACAGGGAAATGGCTTCACAGATGACAGATCAGGAGCATGTGCAACAGTTTCATGTGACCTCAGTGCATGAGCTGTCTCAAATATTTCTGGGCACTCATTACATCGAAATGGTTTGATGTCAACAGGATCAGTGACTTGTCCATTGGAATAATTTTCCAGGGTGGTTCTACCACAGACTTGGGGCTCCACTGAACTAAGTGGTTCATGTGTTATCATGTGGTTATTTAAAGTCACCACATCATCAAAGAGTTTGCCACACTGTTGACAGACACTAGGTTTAATATCCACAGGTTCTTGTACTGCTTGACTAGTGGTTGATTCATGATTTTCAGTGTGCTCTTTCAGTGTCACCTTATCTTTAAAACGTTCCCCACAAATTTTACAAGGAAAAGTTTCAACAATGCAGTGATCACGCATGTGTTTGTTCAGTGACTTCAGATAGACAAAACCTCGACCACACACAGTACATCTCACCGGCTCTCCTCTCAGTTTGCCTTTTGCTTTGGTCACAGGCGATTCTGATGCCCTTCTTGGTAGTGGACCTGTTGACCTTGGCAATGGTTCTGGTGTACGTGACAATGGTTCTGGTGTCTGTGGCAATGGTTCTGGTGTCTGTGGCAGTGGTTCTGGAGTCCGTGACAGGGGTTCTGATGTCTTTTGCAGCAGCGGTCCTGGTGACTTTGGCAGTGGTTCTATAGTCTCTTCCATCTGTGTTCCTTGAGTGTTTTCTGGTGGTGTATAATTTGGTGCAATCTCCTGAGAACTCAAAAGCATCTTCTTCAGCTTCTTCTTTGGGGGATTCAAATGCTTTTTCATGTGCTTACGTAATGATTTGAGTAAGACAAATGTCTTCCTACAGACAGTACACTTGAATGGTTTCAGTCTTTTCTGCTGGGTCGATTCTGTATTCGTATGTAATTTCATGTGAGTGTTTAGAAACTGTACATTGTCACTGACAAGTCCACAGGCTGGACATTTAAACATTTTCTCCTTCAAGTTGGACACAGTTTGTGCTTTTCTCTTTCTGAAGAGTTTAGAGCGAAGCTTACTTATTACAGCCAAACTTGTGCTGGTCCTATTGCTGTATTGAACATCTGAGACAGGAGGTGGGGGATCTGAAACACGATTAGGACCACCACCAGAAGACGTCTCCAAGTCTTCATGCTCTGTCTTCACTTGAACACATTCATCTGGCACCTGAGTGTTCTCTTGAGAAGATTCTCCAGTTATTACAGGTACCAAAGCCACACATTTCAAACCACATTCTTCACTACTGCTTACTGAGCTGAGAGACGAAGCCTCAGGATGTAGAGACATGTGTGAACGGAAATGTTTTAAGTAGGAAAACTCTTTGAGACAAAATGGACACTTTAAACATGTCTTTGTCTTTCCGTTCTTTATCTTCTCTGGTATGCCCTGACCGTTATCAAGGTTAACCTGACCCGATGTGAGCAGCAGACTATCATAATGTATCTCCATATGCCTGTTCAATGTCTTTTGATGCTGGAAGGCTTTGCTGCACAAATGACAGGAGTAGGGCTTCTCTCCAGAATGGGTCCGCATATGGATCCTTAGACTGCCCTGCAGTAGGAACGCCTTGGAACAGACGGAACACACATGATTCTTCCTTCCGGAGTGTGTGATCATGTGCTTCTTCAGAGATGTTGGACGAGGAAAGCACTTCCCACATTCTGGACAATTATGGAGTCTCTCTTTTGTATGCTGCTGGCGTTTATGTGCACCCATGTTACTGGCAGATGTGAACCTTTTCTCACAAAACGGGCATTTAAATGGTTTTTCTCCCGTGTGTGACAACATATGTTTGGTCAAACTGACTGACACTGGGAAAGATTTCTCACAGATCGAACACTTGTACGGTCGCTCTGTGCTATGTTGTGTAGCCATATGTCTTTTCAGTTCAGCCTTAAAAACATACTCCTTGTCACACTGATCGCATTTAAAGGTCTTAGCTTCATGATTTCGCATATGTCTCTTCAATGTAACTACTGACGCAAAATTCTTGTGGCAAACACCACATTCATATGGTTTAATTTCTGCATGCTTTTCCATGTGCATCTTCCAGCTGTCTATCTGTGTGAAAGCCTTGCCACAGACTTGACAGTTATAGGGCTTCACTCCGGTGTGACCACTCATGTGACGCTTCAGTTGATCATGACGCAAAAAACTCTCCCCACAGACTGTACACTGATAAGGTCGTTCTCCAGTATGAATCCGCTTATGCATCTTCAGGGTGTTGGAATGAGTAAACGTCCGCAGGCAGACATCGCATTTGAATGGCTTTTCGCCAGTATGAAGTCTCATATGTGTCGTCAGATTCACATAATATCCAAACATTTTATGACAGACTGAGCACTCGAATGGCTTCTCCCCAGTGTGTGTACGCATGTGTGTTGTCAGGTTGATCAACTGATTGAACATCTTCTTACACACATCACACTCAAATGTCTTACCCTCTTGACCTTTCTGTTTACATTTGCCAGACACTGTCTGACCACTGTCCACCCATCCATTCCGACCAGATCTGTTAGTTCTGGACTGAGATATTTTCCCATCAGGAGCATCTACGATGAAGTCAGGATCAGAACTGGTGTTGTCCGTTTCATCACAGTCTTGAGTGTAGTCGATGTCAGAGTTATCTACCCTGACATCAGATTCTCCATCTTCTTCTGGACTCTCCATCCTAACCAGTCACTTTTCTACACAACCAGCTGTGGCTGAATTATCTATAAACATTACCGAATCATCCTGCAGTGCGGTGTCCTGATTACAAAAGTCAGTGGAAGGGGAACTCTTGAATGTTCATCGTAGTATTTGAAAATGAAAACATTTCCACTATAATTCTGCCATTCTCAACTTGCAGAAGGTCCTTAACAAGCTATCCTGAACATAAACATCTCATCTTGATGTGATTGATCATTGTCTTGCTTGAAGAGACGGCATTAAGTCCATGTTCTGAAACAGAAATCATTGAATATTTACATGGCACTATCGTTTAATGAAAGATTGTGCATGTGATGTGTTGACACAACACAACAAACAGACACACTGGGGCTGGCTGAAAACATTAATAATCGGAGATATAGTTGATAGGAAAACTTATTAATGATTGTTAGTCAGAGTCAGTCAGTCAGTTAGTCAGAGTCAGTCAGTCAATGATTCAGTCAGAGAGTCAGTCACGGTCAGAGAGTCAGTCAGTCAGTTAGTCAGAGTCAGTCAGTCAATGATTCAGTCAGAGAGTCAGTCACAGTCAGAGAGTCAGTCCAGTCAGTCACAGTCAGTCAGTCAATGATTCAGAGAGTCAGTCACGGTCAGAGAGTCACTCACGGTCAGAATCAGTCAGTCAGTCAAAGAGTCAGTCCAGTCAGTCAATGACTCAGTCAGAGAGTCAGTCAGTCAGTCAGTCAGAGTCAGTCAGTCACGGTCAGAGTCAGTCACATTCAGGAAATGACTCAGAGAGTCAGTCACAGTCAGTCAGTCAATGATTCAGAGAGTCAGTCACGGTCAGAGAGTCACTCACGGTCAGAATCAGTCAGTCAGTCAAAGAGTCAGTCAGTCAGTCAGTCAGTCAGTCAGTCAGTCAGAGTCAGGAAGTCAGAGAGTCAGTCAGTCACAGTCAGTCAGTCACAGTCAGTCAAAGTCAAAGAATCAGTCAGTCACAGTCAGTCAGTCAGTCAAAGTCAGAGAGTCAGTCCAGTCAGTTAGTCACAGTCAGTCAGTCAATTACTCAGAGAGTCAGTGAGTGAGTCACAGTCAGTCAAAGTAAAAAAATCAGTCAGTCACAGTCAGTCAGTCAGTCAAAGTCAGAGAGTCAGTCAGTCAAAGAGACAGTCCAGTCAATTAGTCACAGTCAGTCAGTCAATGACTCAGAAAGTCAGTGAGTGAGTCACAGTCAGTAATACAATGTTTGGTTGCATGGATCCTGCATGCCAGTGAAAGAATTGATTAAGTTTTTCTTAGCTGCTGTACTTTATATTAATATAGACATGAGTTATATACAGCATCAAAGTTTTCAAATGAAATAATTTTGATGAAAGATGTTACAGTGTGGGACTTGATATATTGTTTAAGATACATATTTCTTACAAGTGAATAACGATCACATAAAAGCAATATATGAAATTCATCTTCAACATAAGATCTTCCCCTTTCTATACAATATTTACATAGTTGTTCAGTGTATGGGACATTTGTGTATCTCCCAAAATCGACTGCTGGTTTAAACCTACTACATCTGAAACGAATGATGCATAGTCTTGGATGTACAGGGATAGGAAGTGTGAGAAACTTTTCTACATTTAACAGAGATTTAAAATGCTTGCAATAGAAGGAATCAGACTGTTGACAGAACTACAACGTGATTGCTGAAGGTTGTCAAGTAATCTTTGTTTAAAAAGCTGAACACATATCTTCACATATTCATCCACACATATCCAAATAAAAGTCAAAGCAGAATACTTTTAATACATACCAAACATTGTCTGTTTTAACAGACTATGGCCTTTTTACTGAATAAACTGTCTAAAATGGGAATATAATACCAGGGCTCCAGATAATTTTTCAACATCAGGAGAATGTACTCCTTATATTTTCAATAAAGGAGTTCTGGAAAAACTTAAGAGTACTGAATGGAATTTAATGGAGTATCAGTAATCTTGTGTTTCGTTTCATATATGCACCACATCACTGCTACTCTTGTGTAAACAGGTCAATAAACAATAAAACAATACTTTTTCAGATAAATACGTCTGTAAATGATTCTAAGACCGTACACCATCACTGTGGTGCGTATCTGCTATGTTTTCTGAATTATTTCCTACCGTATCGTGTGTATTTTTTATCCGTACATACGCCGATATACGACCTTTATCTGGAGCCCTGTAATACACAGGATAATCATGAAAATCAAGTATGTGTGAAATGTTCTGAATGTGAATTTTCATGATTATACCTTAGCATTTTTAAGCGAGTGAGTGAGTTGGATTTTTTGCCAGTTTTAGCAATACTCTAGCAATATCACGGCGGGGGACTCCAGAAATGTCTTCACACATTGTATCCATGTGGGGAATAGAACCCAGGTCTTCAGCATGAGTGAGTGAGTTTAGTTTTACTCTAGCAATATCATGGCGGGGACTCAGCAATATTCCAGCTTTAAGGCGGCGGTCTGTAAATAATCGCGCCTGGACAAGACAATCCAGTGATCAACAGCATGAGCATCAATCTGTACAATTGGGAACCGATGACATGTGTCAACCAAGTCAGCGAACCTGACCACCCGATCCCGTAAGTCGCCTCTTACGACAAGCATGGGTTACTGAAGATCAATATTCTAACCCGGACCTTCACGGGTGGTTAATATATAGAGTGAGTGAGCGAGTGAGTTTTAGTGTTACGCCACTTTCAGCAATATTCCAGCAATATCACGGCGGGGGGACACTTGACACCAATTTAAATAACAATATCACACAAGTACAACACCAAGAACATGTACTTGTTATGCTCATGCTCATATGAATGCTCATAATATGAACCAGACAATCCAGTGATCAACATGATGAGCGTCGATCTACGGACCTCCACAGGTGTATTCCGCATGATGAGTCAACGCTTTAACCACCAGGCTACACCACTCCAGCAAAATTCAACAGGGTGCTGATGTGGGACACAGCTCATTGTAAAACAACTAAAGACTGTCAATAAAAGATGCACCAAATTTTTGTTACAAAAAATTAATCTAATAATAAACTAAAATGTTTGGACCTTTCCTTTTCACCGAATAGTGCTGCATGCATGTAATTTTAGTAAAAGTGGTAAAAAACTAGATCTAATGACACTTAAATATTAACATACATGTGCAAAAACAAATAGCAGTTATGAAACAAAATCGAATGTCAGTTTACAGATGTGAGTGATGGAATTAGATATGGGTGTGGTGATAACAAAGCTAGAAACAAACCCAGTGTTCTGGGTCCCGTTCCTCAAAGCGATCGTAGAGCTACGATGATCGTAACTCCCATACTTTAACATAGACTTACGACAGTCATAGCGCTGCGATCGCTTTGAGGAACGGGGCCCTGGCTAATCAGGATCAGAATCCATGAGCCTGTCACCCAAGGGAGACAACTGTAAAGGTGCAGGTGCTACTATTATAGTGAGTGAGTGAGTGAGTTTAATTTAAGTCATGGTAGCATTATTTCAGCCTTATTGTGAATGGATCAAGTTATACAGTAATAGGATAAAACAGGAAAACAATTCATTTCAAATTAAAACCTGTCAACAAAGGGAAGAAAAAACCCAGATGATCGCAGAGATTTAAAGCTAGCATTTAAAGGCACATTGTCACTTATGTTCGACAATATTTTGGCCTATATTATATATATTGGGGCATATGCACACATTTGAGCGTCCTATTGATGCAATAAAAGTCTTATTATCCCTTACTACTTGCATGAAATCAATACTTGAAACTTCAAAGCGAACAGCTTCCAAACAGAGAACACTTGCCAAATATGGAATTTAATCAATTGCTCCATACATCATAAAGTGTCACATGCGGTATTGTCGGTGTTTGCCAAACTGGTTTAAGTCACAAGTTGTCCATAGCATATTCCTAAAGAAAGCTCAAATGGACATAACTCTATGGGGTTCGCTTGAAATAATGTTCGGCCGGTAGACGGTGCAAGATTCAACTTAATGAAACGTTGCATTAATCCGTTTGAACATTTTAATTCAATATTGTAATCTAAATACGTAATTTTGGGGGGAATAAATTATATGGTAGCTTCCCTGAGGGCTGATAGTTAGTATTGTTGACAGAAATGCATTATTTCTTTTTGGACATCTGTGGTGTGATATAGTGCCTTTAGCTATAAAATATAACATCATATATAACAATACAATATAAAAACAGGCTATAGATCATTAGCAACTGAAGGTAGATCACCATGCTAGGGACCATGGGGACTTACAGTACGGTGGGATAGCCTAATGGTTAAAGTATCACGCCGTAATATTGCTGGAATATTGCTAAAAGCATTTCTTTTTATTATATATGCCCTATTACATGTTACACTGTTGACATTTTTTTGTTAGGGATGCATATTTTTTCTCTTGTCACAATATGGCCGATGTGAAGATAGCTTACTCACTCACTCAAAGGTAGAGCATCTATGGTCTCATGATGCTTTAGTTCAGTCAGACTTTACAGCCAATACTGTTTTAACCTATTTGACAAAAACTTTGAATTATTTCAGATCAATAACACAAGGACTGCAAACTGGTATGTGTCTCCTCTATAACCATTAACCTCAGGCCAAAAAAAAATATATGTGTGTTTACAGTTTCTCAACCCGCCCCATCACAAACTTCCCGACCCTATAAACTTTTTTTTTTCGTTTTTTTAAAAGACAGCGAAACATTTTGCTATTCCAACAGTATGTACTCCCCAATGTTGGGGGCGACCATATGTGACCTGTGCTCACTTACTCTTGTTTGTCATAAATGTTGAATTTAGAAAGTGTTGATGCTTCAGTTATAAAAAATTTTAACTGGTCTCCCGGCTTTTCTTTCAAGATTGGTCCCTGATATTACATAAATATGTGATTTTATGAAAAATATGCGAGTACATTTAAAAAAGAAATGTAAGAAAAAAAGATAAACCCTACCTACCGACCCTGTTTTATAATTTCATTTTACCCAAAACACACATATTTTTGCCATTGCTTTTCATAACTAATGAATCACATTTCTGTGGTAGATTCTGTGTCATGACGCAAATAAATTACATACAGAACAAGGAATCTATGGTTATATGATGGTTTTGTTTATTTTTAGACTTCAGACAACACTGTTTTTACCTATTTGACAAAAAAATTGATCTATTTCAGATCAAATACGCAGGGACTGCATAAACTAATTATCAACTGGTG